TTAACTCCTTTTCTGTATCCTACTTTCTTAGTCTTCAGAAGCTTAACTAGACGCTGCCAATGTAAGTACATTTTGCACAGATACATGCAGTCTGCGGTCCTCAACCCCCTGTTAGGGAACCGCCTGAGCTCCGCACTACCTTCCCCTCACCCACAACACCCCAGCTCCCCACCCTCAGTCTGTGGAAAAACTGTCTTCCATGAAACCGGTCCCTGGTGCCAGAAAGGTTGGGAATCACTGCACATAGGAACTCAGAGCCAGGTGGTAATGGTTTCCTAAAGTTCTGTGAAGAATACAAGAAACAACCCAAAACATCGAGGAGTTTATTTGAAAGCAGCATAATTTTGGTGTTGAGTTGCCTGAGACATAGTCATCTTCAGTCTGCCTTCAGAGAATCCCAGAAAATCCTAGAATATATATACAGAGACATTCGTCACCCCTACTTACTCTCACAGTTGAAGCTCAAGTTAGCTCATAACAGTGAAAAGGAGAGAAGGTTCCGGGGAAGCAGCAACATTCCAAGTGATTTGGCATGGCAAAATCTTGGACTGAATTTAATCACAGGCCTAGAGTTTTCAATCTCTCTAAATTTCTGTAGGCAATTTATGTAATTATATTGGCACACATATTTTTCCATTTCAATAACAAAGCCACAAAGATCTTTATGTGCATAGACAAATCTTTAATATTGTAAAAGAAAAACAGCAGCCAATATTAACTCAAAAATTCCAAATAGGGGCATGCTTCCCTGATTTTTCTCTTCAGAGTCAGTAAGAATGCATCTCAGATGGAGGGAAAGACAAGCTTAGAGCTCTCCTTTGCCAACTCCCTTCCTCCACCCTAACATACATTTTATTCAGACATAAGACGCTTTATTAGCCAAGTCTCCCCCGCACTGCTTTGATATTTTGAGCCTAATTGAATATGACTGATCACAGCTCCCGGCTCACATTTGTGGGCAGATTTTTGCTTGCACACATAGTACATACGTCTTTGATCAAGACCAGCTCAGAACACCACCCTAAGTAGATAGACTTGGCAGAATTCTGAACCTTGGTTATTCTATCAAGACTAAGGAGTGCATGCTAATTTTTAGAAGTTTTTCTTTTCTCGTGGAACTAATTCAACATAAGTCTGTATAAGGGAAGTAAAGTTAAAACAACTAAAATAATTTCTGTTCCTTCTTGAGTATAGCAAAATAGACTGAACAATAAACAAGTACAGTTTATAAATTCTGATCACAGACAGGAACTATAAACCACGAATGCCAAGTAAACACAGACCAAGTTAACGTCAAAGTCAAATAAAATACATATCAAATTTAATGATACCTATTTAATGATATGCATAATCACAGTAATTGCTCAACTAGATGGAAGGAGGGGCCAACAATACATTTCATCAACCTCACAAATCAGTTGGCCCTGATGGCCACCACCCTCTTCAATCCTACTCCAAGTCCCAAAGGACAAAGCCCTGATCTGAAAGGGAAGGCCCAGGGGCCACAAATTCATATTTACTCTCTCTACTCCTTCCACAGGCCAGGGAGGGACCATGAAATTAAAGAAAGTTCTCCCTGCGCAATTCCTGCTTGGAGGCTCAAATAAGCTATCCAGAGCTACCAGATGTGCATCTTTCATTGGCAGAATTCTAGCACCAAGCAGTCAGGGACAGTTTGTTGCAAGGGTGATCCCTAGGAAGACTGGTGTTTGTGTCGTGAGATGAGGAAGAAGATAGGCACGGCAGTGAGAAAGAGTCCTAGAAAGTCACCTCTCGGTGCACATTGGTTAATTGGTTTGCTTCGCTAACATCTAGTCCCCAGGGAAATGGGAGTTTTAAGGGATATGAACGTATTGGGTTCCTATAGAAAGAGGGACAATAAATTAGAAAAAGTGCGCCCTCCCCACCCCAAAAGAAAACCCCACTTCTTCACCTAATGCTTGTATCAAGGACAGGCCTTATTCCCTCTCCCCTCCTTCTAGAACCCCTTCATCCTGTTCATCTCCTGACCAAATCTGTTCACAGTTGGACGAGCCAGCATTGGGGATAAGATACCTGTAAAGGCCTGGCTCTGTGATTCCAATCTTAAGGGAGTGTCCAGGATTCTTTTAGGGTTGGGTCTTGTTTTGATTGGGAGGGAGTGGGGTATAAGAATGTTTATAGTCTGCTTAGAATCTTTCCTTAGTGTAAACAACACCCAAGAGGAATTTTAGAATGCATTCCAAAATAGGAATACATAAAACTTTCTATGCAACTATAATCATTCAGAAAAGAGAGAATTCACATCCTGTCTGTGTTAAAAATGACCCACTGCAGGTCTTTCCTAAAAGCAAACATGGTCACACTTCTACCAATTTATATTGATAATCTGCCCTTGTTCTGTTCAACTGACATTGCAAATTAATATCCATTAATACCTTTCCCTACATGCTTTTGAATATCTTATAACTGCCACAAATAATCATCTCTTTGTGAATTACACAGGGCAAGTGTTGATCTAATCAAAGGAGTGATTTCATTATCAGACAGAATTCTTGTGGACAGAAGGCTACATCATGTCCATATAATAGGAGGCCATGAAATCACTGGCTTCCTACATCTTTCTATGAAATTGGGTAGTTTTAAAATATGTTCACAAATTCTTTGACATACCTCTCTTTAAAAGTTAGAGACTACCTACCCTCTCTGTATTTTGGGCCTGCCTCAATGAATAGATGTAGCACGAGTGACCCTGTGTGACTTTAAGGATAGATCATAAAAAGTGATTTGGTCTGCCTCTATCTCTTTTCTACTCTCTCCCAGGACAGATGCCTTTGGACCTCTGTAAGCTACGATGTAAGACATAGAGCTACTCTAGAACTGCCATTCTAGAGAAAATCACATGAGAAAACACATAGAGGCAGAGAGAGAGAGAGAGAGAGGCCCAAGGAATGTCAGCTGTTTGAGTCTTTCAGCCCAAGTGATTGACAGGTGAATGAAGAAGCCTTTGAGATTACACCAGCCCCAGCCAAGATCTGATTGTAATCTCCTAGGATACCTTCACTAGAACTACTTGGCTAAACCACTCCAACTTCCTAATCCAAAGAAACAATGAGAGATGAATATTATTATTATTATTATTATTTTTTGAGACAGAGTCTCACTTTGTTTCCCAGGCTAGAGTGAGTGCCGTGGCGTTAGCCTAGCTCACAGCAACCTCAGACTCCTGGGCTCAAGCGATACTCCTGCCTCAGCCTCCCAAGTAGCTGGGACTATAGGTGTGCCACCATGCCCAGCTAATTTTTTTTCTAGTTGGCCAATTAATTTATTTTTTTCTAGTTGGCCAACTAATTTATATTAGTTGGCCAATTAATTTATTTCTATTATAGTAGAGACGGGGTCTCGCTCTTGCTCAGGCTGGTTTCGAACTCCTGACCTTGAGCAATCCGCCCGCCTCAGCCTCCCAGAGTGCTAGGATTACAGGCATGAGCCACCGCGCCTGGCCAGATGACTATTATTTTAAGCCACTAACTTTTGGGGTGATTTTGTTATGCAGCCACGGTAACTGAAAGAGGAGCTATGATGGAATCAGGACAAGAGGACGAAAAAGTGCTATCTACCCCCAAGATCAAACAAGGAAATCTTCAGCATCTACAAGAACTTCAGGAAAGAAGACTTAGAAGTCTTCAGGAACAATGAAAGTAGGAACAATTTGTCAATAAATGCAATGAAAAACAACACTAGAATAATCACCTTTTTATTTCCATACTAGGTGACCTCTACGAGAATTTTCCACATTCATAGTTAAAAGAAATATATTAAGGCTGACCCTGAGAAGAACCTCATAGGCTGGCAGCAGAGTCAGAGGCAAAGGAAAGAGCTGGGGCACATCTCCGTCATCTCCACGTAGGTGCCAACACCATCACTCACTTGTTTTCTACCTCGTGACTTTTTTCTATAGACTGTGCAGCTGATACAGTGCAAGTGTTTCCCCCACCACAGCTCTGAATCACTTTGAAAAGGAGGACTTCTTCCTTTCAAGGGACATGGAACAGAGTTGGAGTCCAGTCAGGAAAGGTGGTGTTCATCTCCATCATTGGGCCAGAGAGAGTGAGTTTGTGACACCTGCGTGTCCTGGTGAAGCTGACCCAAGAATGATGCTGAGGAGGTGGCAACTGGGGGCACGCAGGCAGGAGGCAGCCACAGAGCCAATTCCCTGGCCCACCCAGTGTTTTCAAAACAGAAAATTTCTAGCTGTCTATCTTCTCTTGAAGTCTTGGAGATCTAGCAACCCTGGGTATGCATTCCCACCTGGTCTCAACCAGTGGGAGCCAACTAGCTATTTCTCCCTTTAGACAGAACATGCTGTCTCTGCCACAGTCCCCATCACTCCCTACTGTTTTATATGTGAGCTCACGTCTCTCATTTACTGTATACTTCTGGTCTCTGTGGGCATCTGAGCTTGGGTTTTGTGACCTATGCCAACAGACGAGTTTCAGACTCCAAACTGCCAGGTGCTTCTTGGTCACACCATAGGTTTGAAATTCTTGGTGGTTTAGAAATTCAAGTAAATTCCATGGTTGTGCCCTTGCCAATTTCTTCCCCTAAATTACAAATGTGGGACCATGACAAACCCATACACCTATGTAAGTAACCTTACAGCGCTGTTATTCAACAGTGGAGTGCAAGGTTTGCCCCTAGAAATACAGTTTATTTGATACATCCTAATTATCTGTAAATACAAACTGTGTCCATACACAGATCTAACATTCCCAGCCCAAATTACAGTAATGTGGAAAAGAGTCAACTGTCAGTTAGTTCTGAGATTAGAATGGACAGAAATGGAATAATGAGGTCCACATATCATGAATAACAATTTAGTCACTTAGCATGGAGTATCTTCAAGGTGATTTCTACTGGTGACTTAATTAGGCAGTGAGGGCATTTGTTGAAAGTTTAAGATCAGCATTTCCAGAGGGGGGTGTGTGTGTGTTAGAGAAAACAAAGACAAAACAACTCACCAATTCCAGACATTGTCTGTGCCCATAGGCAGCAGCGTAATGAATGCTATTGTAACCTTCTTTGTCCCGGATAGATGGATTTGCATCATTTTGAAGCAGAAACTCTAGACATCTGTAAGTAGAAAGATGAGGTGTTATTTTAGAAACATCTTGGGACCAAAAGGGATAATTAATGTAAATCCTCCTATTATGAATGTTCCAGGAAGCACTTCATGAATTTCAGTGTTTCTTTAAAAATTCTACAGCAATGAAGTCTTATGTGTTGGAAGGGGTGTGTGTGTGTGTGTGTTCTGTAGCTATCTTTGAGTTTGAAATAGCCATTCTAGAATTCAAGAGAAGCTTTAGGAACAAGAGGACAATTAAGGCTTTTGTTTCTTCTCATCTTAAGTTACAGAGCATGTCTGTCATCAAGATTACTGTATAATAAGTTTTAGAACTCCATGTTCAAAAAACCGAAGTCTTAAACCTAATAAACAAGTGGTCACAACTTGCAATAGGTCTTCCCTCTCTATCAGTGGGAAGAGGGCTGGTCTGGCCCAGGGCAAGCTTCAGTTCACTGGAGAAAGGGGCATTTGCTGAGGTAGCTTAAAATTCTACAGACTTCTAATATCATTATTTTAAGTTTTGGAATGTTAGAACACAATCTTGGGTCATTCTACTTTTCTCATAGCTGTGTTTCTTGGCCTCACTCCAATTACAGTCAAAGTTATGTCCTACAACCTGTAGTGGGGCTACACTCTCTACCTTATTTTTAACCTCATTCTGAAGTTAAAAGGGTAGAAAATGAAAGTTAAAAAGAATAAATAAAGAACCCAAGAATAGACTAAATAATAAAAATAATGGAAAGGGTAAACATGTAAAAGAAATGAACAATTAATTTTGTAAGCACATTTGAAGAAAGAGGGTTTAATTGTACCATTAGGAATATAGACCAGAAAGAAAATTGTAAAAGCCTTTCAGGCAGAGTTGTAATTTTTCTGAAAAAGCCACAGTCTTAGGAAAATGTTAGAGGAAGAAACACAGCTCCATCTTTGCTGAAGAGCCCAAAGCTCCAGGATGTAAGAACCCAGGGATTTAATGAGTTCTGTTCAGGGCCTATGGCAAATGGTCCATTCCTCCTGGCACAGGGGGAAGATAACTAGGCAGAGAGCAAAGCTCCATAATTCAGTATTATTTCTGTGACCGTGGGCCAAACACATCCTTTACAAGACTAAGATGATTCAATTTCATACTCAAATTGAAATTTTAAAATTCTAAATATCACCCTATACTTTAAGACCCTATACTTTGAGACCTTCCAATGGAAATTTTATATCTATAAGTTTACTCAAAAACCTTTAAATGGCATTTACCTATCTTTTGGAATAAGGCAAGAGGAATAAATAAATCACACACAGAAACAGTTAAAACAGATATATCAATTTCCAGAAGAACTGATGAAAGACATAAGACTTTTTTAAACTAAATATCTAGATTTCACATGATTTATCCATAAAATGCTTCATAATAAATCAAACTATTATTAGAATCCTGCTATCATGCTGTCTTTGGTCATTTGCACCTTATAAGGAAGAAGTTCTTTTTCATTTTGGTAATGAAATGTCCATGGACAGCATCCCAGGTGTGACTCACATTAAACCCAATTTGGCTCTTCAAATAAAATCATTCCATAGGAATAACATTCTAGTAGACATATAATCTCCAACTTCTGAATGGATTATATTCCAAAACTCAGTTGAGTTTGTAATTTAGAAAACCCACAGAATATAGCTTAACTATGCACTATCAACGTTCCTATTATAATGACACAGTACTGTAGAATTTGGATATTCTCCACATTGTTTCTAAGGAAAAATGAATTTCATGTTTTAATTGGGGATGCTTATCTTTTCTCCTCCCAGGGCCCTGACTAGCAATTTTGGCAGTAAGAGGCAAAATCAACAGATGTGCATTAGGTCAAGGGTGTACTTAGACACAGGGAGCAGCCTCCCTTCGCATAAAAGAGCTCTCGGGGCTGGTTCCCTGTCTCTCTCCTGCTTTTCTTGCTCCCTCCCTCTCCATCATCGGCAAAGGGGCTGGTCTGGCCCAGGGCAAGCTTTCAGTTCACTGGAGAAACGGGCAATTTACTGAAGTAGCTTAAAATTCTACAGATTTCTAATATCATTATTTTAAATTTTAGAGTATTGGAGCAAAATCTTGGTCATTCTACTTTTCTCATAGCTGTGTTCTTGTCCTCACTCCAATTATAGTCAAAGTTATGCCCCGCAATATGTAGTGGGGCTACACTCTCTACCTATCCCTTCCCCACAGTCTGGGTGTGGGAGGAGCCCAGTGGCAGGTGGGAAGACCCTAGAGTGGACACAAGAATTCGACTCACATAGAAACTGGTTCCTCTGACCATCGGGGAAGAGAATGAACAAGTCACAAACTGGGTGCCTGCAGACTGGCAGAGCACTGTATCCACTGGGTCCCACAGGGGCAGGGCACAAAACGTGGGCACCAGTTCATTTGCTTGTTTATTGCTTCAGCAGGTGCTGAATGCTGATGAGGAGCCAGGCACCACGGTGGGCACTGTGAGCTTCTTACTGGGACTCACAGTGCAGAAAAGACTCTCCGAGCTTCCCTGTGTATCAACCCCGGGTAATGGCGGGCACTCCAGCCCCTGTCACAGCCACAGCTAAGTCTCTGGCAGAAATCAGAGAGAGGCAGGAGGGATGAGGGGGCCCCGGCGCAGCTGTCTGCAGGGGCAGGAGGCTGTTTGTAAGTTGACGGGTGTGGGGCGGGGGGCAAGGGGAAAATACAAATGGGGTATTTCACACCAAAGTCTTCAGAATCTTAACAGTTACCCCAAATCGCAAAAGCAGAACCTAAGGTTCCAAGAAGAGGCAAATTTGTCCCCTGAGGCACATGGTGCATGGCAGAGTCAGAAATGATATTTGAGACACCTGGCCCTAAAAAACACTGACCTACCTGGTGGTGGCCGAAGCAAAACTTACGATTTTAGAAACTTCCCCAATGTGAAAACAGCAGAATTCAAGGACGTAATAACAGAACAGTTTCTTTGTCTTTAAAGGCAAGCCCATATCATTTCCCCAAGATCCCAAGTGAAACCCCAAAATAGTAAGGCAGGCAGCGTGGCCATGGGAGAAGCAGACAAAGGATCAGAAATGGCACCTTGTCTTAAGTGGAGAAGAAACTTACAGCGAGGCTTCCTTTTCCTTCAGCTCCCTGGCTCTTTCAAGCTCTTCTGAATTTTCATGGGCATTTCCTAAGATAGTCTTACTTCTCAGCATAAGAGATAGAAAAAAAAACTGCAATTAATATTTTCAAAGGCAAAGTTGTTAATGGTTTTGGTACAATTTATATCTCAATGCTTTTTACCCCAACCCAAAGGAAATAAGCAGCACTGATTTTCACCGAGGGCATCCACGGTTTTCTCCAAGGCCATCCAGTAAATCTATTCTCTCCTAAGGAACCTGTCTGAGAACACGACTTTCCTAAAACTTCCACCCAGGTATCAGTGATTAAGGCAACAATCAAGTTGCCAACCTTTCCATAAACTCCCCATCTTACATACATATACATAAAACAAATATAAGTGAATGTGTACATTGGGTCGTGATATAAGACATATATCTCATCGTGTGTCACCATCTAACAGCCATTGACCTACGGGAGAGGCAGTCAGCACTGACCCAGAATCAATTCCACAGTACAGGGCAGCAAATAATTCAATAATTCTTCAAACAGTGTCACCAAAATGTATTCCTATGAAGAAGGCCCCGCCTGAAGCCTTTGAGTACAACTTCCTCGATTGTGGGCATCTCCCCACCTTCTTGCCTTGTACTTCACTTATTTCTGTTTTCTATTCCTAACCACCTACAGAATCCAAACATGTCCTAGGGCAACCAACATCCTCTCCTCCATCTTCCGAAAGAGCATTCATGGCCAGGTTTAGAACAATAATGCCTGGTTTACACATCCTGGCGCTGCATTTGAGGGCCTTTGGGATTATGCATGGGTGGACATTTTTGACATATATATTAGCAAATGTAAGTTTTACAGCAAATGAAGCATTTAAGTAGTGATAATGAAAACTACAGTATATGTCAAAATAAATTACAACTGATTTTGAATGAACTGAAAACCTGGCCTTGACAGCTCCACTTGGCATTCAATCCAAAGAAGAGAGAAGTTATTGTGCAGTGACATGTAATAATCACACATAAAGCAAGCAGAATGGGAAAACCCAGGTTAGGAATGAAGAAAGTCCAACTCGTTTGGGACTTGATAAGAGAGATTTTTCATTTGTAGTTTCTGTGAAGCAGTCTGAAGACAACTGAGCAACACCTCCCCACTCCCCTGCCCTACCCGAGAGGAGGCATGAGCAAGGCTGCCATTACTTTCTATCCATGTCTGATGCAGCGGCATAGTGCAAAGCCGTCCGTCCCCAATCATCTGTTTCGTTAACGTTGGCCCCTGTAGTCACTAATGTCTCAATACAGTGGAAATGACAATTCGCAGCTGCATAGTGCAAAGGGGTCCTGAAAAACAAACAGCAATTTATGATTCATTCAGTCCAGAAAACAGAGCCATCACTGGCAGTAGTGCTGAGAGCAATATTCCCAGGGGCACAGAAAGCTCCTCGACTCGCAGTGTGTGGAGGCCAAGGTTGTGCCTTCCTTTCACTATCCAGTTCGGGTACCCCTCATCCAAAATGCTTGGGACCAGAGTGTTTTGGATGTTTGAGCATTCCGAATCTGAAATCCAAAATCCAAAATGCTCCAATGAGCACTTCCTTTGAGTGTCACGTCAGCGCTTAAAATGTCTCAAATTTTGTTTTTTTAAAATCCATGTTTGAAATTCTTCTTCTGTCATTTTAGTGGTCTGATTTTGGTTGATGTCCATTTTTAGAGAGCTGATGTTCCTCTTTGGGGGTGTGCTTTTAGGATTTTCAAGTGAGGGATGCTTAACCTCTATAAACTAGAGCTGAAGCTACAAAGACAGTGTCTTCAGGCAAGGCTCTTCGCCACAGACCCATCCTTTCTTTCTATTCCTAGAGCCTATCCAAGTCTGCATTATTGTTCTTTGAACCATTGCAAAACCATCCCAGCAGCCTCCTTGGCTCTAATTAAACTTTCAGCTAAATTTTAGTTAATATGAATGAAAAATTGGGTTTTCTGAGGTACAATACCCACATATGATAATCCTGTTCTAAAACCTTTGGTCTTCCCCACTCGATTCTTCAGCTTGGAATCGAAGATCTTCCCAAGCTGGTCCCAATCTCCTTTGATACAGTAACTCTCTCCCTTAGACATACTCAACAGCGTACCCAAACTCAATGACTTCAAGTTTTCCCAATCAACTCTTCCCTCCACCTGTACCTGTGTTGGTTTCTCCCTGGAAGTGCCCTTTCCTCAACCACTTCCACCCATCAATTCCCACTCATCCTTCATGTTCCAGAAGTCAGTTCTCTTTTTTTTGTCTGAGATTGCTTAGCTAGCCTGGGTCTCTCTTGAGCTCTCATCACATACTGTGTCTTGATTTTAGCTATTGCTGTGTTGTCTTATCTTCTCCAGTGGACTGTAAGCTCCTTGAGGGTAGGGATGTAAGTTACCAGAAAGGACAATGCACATGAATCAGAAGCCCTGGGCTACAGTGTGGGCAGATCTGCAAGGTAGCCCAAACCACATCCCTTCTCTGGGCCAGGCTTCTTCATCCTTATTTCAATAAGCACCTTTGAGCTGCTGTGCCCTAAAGCCCTTGCTAGGTCCACAATTCTATGTGCATGTATAAACCATTTGGTTTCTGTGGGCTCAGCTTTCTCATCTATTAAAAAGGATAACAGGCATCCCCATATACCTCATAGAGTTACTATGAGAAACCAAGTGAGTAATATTCAGAAAATACAGGCACCTTGTAAAGGGAAAGCCTGCAGAAATATGAAATAATTTGTTTTTTATTACTCATTTTTAGTTCTCAATTATTTAAAAGTTTTCCTGGTGTGACTAACCAATATTCAGGGGATAATACTCACACAGACTAGTAAGAATAAAGCAACTATTTCAAGAATTATTAATTTTTAAGCATGACAATTTCATATTTTATAGTCAATTTATGGGCTCTTTTACTAGTTGATTTTCTCCTTTTCAGTCCACAAAAGGAAAGTATAAGTATTTTACATTTTGGATTGCTTATGCTTTAATTAGACTGAAAATTATTAGGTATCAACCACATAACAGGGCCCGAAGATAAAGAGAAAATGGCACCCAGTTCTTGTCCTCAGGAGACCCACAGTCAGGTGGGGACAGAGATAAGGAAACAGAGCCCACGAGAACAGTGTGATGTGTGCTGTGTGCTGCGGTGGGGGCTGGAGGGAGCCATTGGAGCAGGGAGGGGCCCTCCTACCAGAGCACAAGGAGGCGTCACACGTGAATCTGGAAGGTTGAGTAGGAGCTGTCTTACATAGGTTGGGAAGAGAAGAACTTCGCAGCAACCCCAAACAACCAGGGTGCATGTGGAGAGGAAGGGTGAAAAAATACATATATACACACATACATATATATCCATGTACCAGCTAGTATCAAGGCACAATTGAGCTAACACAAATGACCATTAAGGTAAGGAAAGTTCTATGACCTATTAGCAGTATGTGTGTATATGTGTGTGTAATGTTTTAAATACGTCTAAAACTTCATCCCAGGATGAAATGTCCACTATATGTAATAAAATGTTCTAGATCTTATGACCAGATTCTGAGTTAGGAGGGCTAAAATATTCTACTCTGCTACAAATAGAATTTTCTAAACTATATCTATGTGGGAAATTTTTTTAAAAATTGAAAAAAGAAGAGAGAATATTGATACTTCTAAAGAGAAGCTGTGAGCAGAGATGCTTTCCTTGTGGCTTGTGTTTGCTTAGTTGGCATTTCCGTACCAGAAGGGATTTCTGGTACGAAGATGGAATCCCCCCAGCTAGCTTCCCTGTTTACCATTTCCACATAACATGATTACTACAGGGACTACTCCCCACTCCTTCCATTTAGGCACTTGAAGCAGAACTCCCTGATTACATACCTCCCACACTTGTCCTTTTTATGGAAATCTGCTCCGCTGCTCTGCAAGAGTTTTATACATTCCACATTACTAGAAAGACAGGGAAAACATCATTAAGATGGAAGAGATTGATTCCTGGGCTATCTTCAGAAAGAGTTGTTTTCTGCACAGTGCAGGACAAGATGAAATAACTCCAGGTTTAAAATTCTGTTAACAAAACATAACTTGAACATATTAATTCCCTACTGTAAGGATCTAAAGTCCCTAAAGATCCTCTTTCAAAGGTAGTAACTCAATAAATAAAAGAGGTTGGCAGAACATTTTCAATCCCATGACTAAAGAATGTCATGATTATTACATGACTAAACCTTCCAGTGATGGTTTTGTTTATCCTAAAATTTGTTTTCAAAACCATCAAGAGTTTATGAAACAACAACTTAAACCTATAATAATTTCATGTCACCTTTAAACAATGAGCCAGAGTAGATGAGTATTACCTTTTATCACAGCAGAATGAATTCACCATGATAAACCACTTTCAACCCAGATACTCCTTAATGGGAAATAAAACAGCTGCATTTCCCTGCTTTTGTAATCTAAGTAAAAATATGTAGACCCAAGGCTGAAAATGATGCAATGGCGCACAGTGATCTTGCACAGCTTCTTTGTCATTCGCAGAAGCAATAAATCATATTTAGTAGAAAGAAAAGGACCCACTGAAGTGAATTTCTTTTTGAAGGGCATGTAGCTAAATATTAATTCTAATAGGAGTTTCAGACATGAATCTGAAATGGTGTCTTGCCACCTTCTGCACAGGTCTGATATTTTTAAAAACATGGTCATAAAAAGAGGTAATCATCCATCATCGTTCTATACTTGGGATGCTAAGAAGCGGCCTAGAATTTATTGTTTTATTATAATTTAAATAAGAAAAATGATCTCAATGATAAACCTGAGCAGGGCTCTCCCCTCCCCACATCCACCCTTTATAGCCACTTTTCTCAGAGAGCTAGCTATTTCAGTCATCCTGTGTAAGAACTTTTTAAGACATCTATGTGTTGGAGTAGCATGCCAGTTGATATGAAGCACCTGTCTCTTACTGACTGATGCCAAAGGATCAAAGGCAGTGGCAGATCAAAGTGGCATGGCTCGTGAAGCTCACACAATTTGAGGGCTGGGGTGGGGAAGAGGGGACTCTTTAAAAAATAATACAAAATTATGAATACAAAACTAGTTATAAGACTTTTTAGAAGGGACCCATGTAAACAAGGAGCCCTAAACTTTGATAATGCACAAATGACAAATGGAGAAGCATTGCTGTTCCTTAAGGACCAGGAAATTGATTAAGAACCAACACCTTACCCAAACAAGGTCATCCAAGAGATGCCATGTTTGATCAATGTGTGGTCAGATATATCAACAACATATTGATCAGAGCTTTAATCTAACCATCAGTATAAAAAAAAGAGAGTAGCTGATGAAAAATTCTCTTTATAACTCAAAAAAAAAGCAAGGATTAAATTCCTTCATGTCTATCTTTTGGGTTTTCTTGACTTTTGTTCACATTTAATCATTATAAAGACTTAAAAAATCAGATTTGAAGTAAGGATGAAAATGTCTATAAATGAACGTTAATTAATCCAATCTTGGATTCTCTTGATCATCACCCACCTACCAGCATCAAAAAAGGAAAAGCTTAGGAACAAATTTCAAATTATTTTCTTTTGGTGGAAGGGTACATGATAGATATATATTCCATAGCCTGAAAATTTATAATTAAAAACAATAAAGGAAAAAGAGAGAGAAGAAAAAAAAAAGAAAAACTATTTGCTATATGAGATAGGCCAACAATTTTTCTTTGGAAGAACAAAATGCAAGTAATCTGGAAATGTAACACAGTGATATTTGGTAAAAATGATTCTTACCCATTTGATTAAGGAAATTGCCTTTGATTCACAGACAACTTAAGTCAATAAAGATGAATTAGTAATTAAGTCATGAAATAACTAGAATTGCTAACTACTCACCCTCCTGCAGCAGCAGCATGAAGGCACGTTCTTCCAAATTTATCTGGGGTGTCTATTTCAAAGCCTGCAGACAGCACGTGCTCATTACTAAACAAGGATACTATGCTATACTTTTGTCCTAGTTAAACCACAAGAAACATTGCAGAGACAGAAAAATCAGTTAGTAGAAAAACCAGAACGCAAGCAATTGTAGTCAGAAAGAGGTTGTCATGGAAACGAATGGTAACTGCTCAAGCTTGGCAATTTTATAGGAAGAACCGTGAAGTCAAGAAGGATTTATTTTCACATTCAGCCCTGGGTGAACCACAGCCCCATTTTTCAATCCCAGGATAGAAATTTATGAAACCAATTTGAGATAAATAGGGCAATAGATAGGCAGACAGAACACATGGAGAAAACATGGAAGGCAAAGCAGTAATTCTAACATGCTGGAATAGATATTTTCTTAAGTGTATTCCAACCTTTTGGCTGGTTTAAGATTTGGGAAACATGCTTGCATGCAGGGATTATTTTTAAACATGCCGACAGCAGTGAAAGCAGAATCAACCATAGGTAAAGTACTTAGAGGGAAAAAAATGGCTCTTGGTTATCTGATGAATTAATTCATAAACAATCTTTGCCTTGCAAACCTCTACCACTTTTGAAAGCCCAGGAACTTCTTAATATAAGTAAGTTGGTAGAAGAAGTGACAAGAAAGATTACTTGTTTCCAGAAAGGATTTCTTGGTTCCAAATAGTCTCACATTAAAAAAATAAAAACTACAGCTAGTTGAGGGGACCACGTATAGTGATCTTTCAATGCTCAGGGAAGGAAACATGACATTTCTACCACTAAGTGTAGAGGATTTGACCTTTTCCTTTCGTTAAAAAATATTAAATGTTAAGTCATCATTTTAAGCCTTGAAGATATTTTCTTCTTCTATGACTTAAACTTCTTATAAGCTCTGGCCATCCCTGCCTCTTTCCAACCCTGAATCACCCAACCTTTAACTTAAAAAACAGAGAAGATTCTTGTTCTTGGGCAGGAGTGCTGACATTCAAACAGCTCAACACGAAGGACTGCCGGGAACGGTCACATGCAGTTAGCTGTGGAACACGACTCTTCCTGCCACACCGGGTAATGACAATGACACAGGCAGCCACTCACTCTGACCGGACACCCGAAGCCATGTGACTCACGTACAGGACACATTAAGCCTCATCTCTGGTAACACATTTACTTACCGGACGATAACAACTTTCTGCAGCAGTCAGAGTGAGCATTTAGGGCGGCTAAATGTAAAGGGAACATACTATGGATTCCACACCTGAGGAGGAAAAAAACAGAACAGCTCATGGTAACAGATCTCAAGATACATGCAGAAGAATAAGGACCTTCCTAGAAGTTCTCTGATGAAAATTAATACCACCCTGCTTAGAGATTCCCTTGGCTGAAATAATTTTGTAATTCTTCCACCTAATAAATAATTATGTAATCATTTTCCATCTTAAAATAATAAATGCTTGAATCTAAACCAGCCCATAACCATAGGAATGTATATTTTTAAGAAAAAAAATATACATTCACATAAATGTGACTGTTTTTACCTAAACACGACTCTTTAATCTTCCTCTTGCTTTCTTTCAATTTAGCCATCATATGTCTCATTCATTCAACTATTCAACACTTTCTTAGCATGAGATACTATGCTAAGTGCTAGAGATAACAATGCTGAATAAGACAAGCTGAATTTGAAAAGCAGCTTATTTTATTCCTCGATTTGATAAACATTATTGATGTGTTATGTGCCAAGCAATTTGTTGAGTTAGTAAAGGCTGTATTATTGAAAATAAAGTTTTGGATGAGAATAAAAGCTAATGTTTATACCAGGGGTCCTCAAACTTTTTAAATAGGGGGCCAGTTCACTGTCCCTTAGACCGTTGGAGGGCCATTTGGAGAGTGTGGTGCACATTCCACACATGCGCACTGTGGGCCTGGGACGAGTTGGCTGCTAAGCAGGACAGGCAGAGGCGGCAAAAACACCTCTGGTCAGGATAAATGTCCTCGGTGGGCCACATGTGGCCCGCAGGCCATAGTTTGAGGACGCCTGGTTTATACCTTCTGCAGGTGAAATGTTATCTTCCTAATGCACTTTTATGTTGCACGTTAACCTACATCACAATGCCAGTCACAAAAACACAGGAGTAATAAACATTAGTTTGCATATATTTCATAAACCTAGAACTATTAAAGGAATAGTCTAGAAAAGGACTTTTTAGACTGACTTCCACCCTGACACGATACCCAGGATGATCCCTTAAAGAACAGAAAGCCTTCTGATGCCAGCACTTTTTGCCTTGAGAATTAAATCCTCCTCCTATCCCCTCTCACATTTCCTAGAACAAGGACCCAAAGCCATGTGCTGAACTGTAGCTCATAACAGACAGCATCATCAGGTGGTTGCTGTGTACTTATAAGCATTTATGTTAGTGATCATTTCTCATAACATCTCATTTTAATCAAATAATACATTTCAGATGTTTAAAATCCTCTGCATAACAGAAGCAAGTACAGGACCATATCTATTTACACCCTGGAGTATTAATCACCTAAGTTTCTGGACCACAAAGTGGGCCATTTTCAGACTCCATGCTTCATAAGGAAATATATATGATTTGAATTTGTTAGGCTCTGGATACATGAATTTTATTTGCCATCTCCAAAGTTATTATGTGTGTGTGAATGTGTGAAAGCATATACATAATTCACAGATATTTCATAGTATTCAGTATTGTGCAAAATCCAAGTCTGTCAGCAATTAACCACCGCACTCTCTTTCCATGATAGCTTCTTTCTATTTATTGGTGTTTCTGTTCAGTCTTCCCTCTGTTTATTTTCCTTTCCCTATATGGAGATTTCCAACCCAGTGTATATAATAGCTGGCATCCATCAAGAGATGCAATTTGCCCGTCTTCCGGGCAGTGTCACGTAGAGGAGAACTGCTTGTAATTGCCTCTCTCATCATTTACCAAAAAAATTCTGAAAAGCAATTGCATCAGTGACGACCTTGATGCTCATGAAAAGGCAGAAGCAGTTGGGGGATGGGAGAGAAGCTTCTCTATCTATGCTGTTATTTATATTGTTCCCTCTTGAGGCGAGAGAAACATACAGTTTTTTTAAAACACGTATAACATGCTTTAAAAGTGCCTTACGAAATGGAACTTGAAGCTAATATGATTTTACCGAACTATTTCATTTGTTTAGGGGAGTTATGGCAAAAAAACATACGATTAAATATCTCTGGATATTTGGAAGAGGAAAGTAGATGAATATCTTCTAGGATGATTTTAAAGTTACTAAAAGAATATGTCTAGAATCAGGGACTGAATTTCTCAAGATTTCTTTGAGCCTTCCTCATTCTTTAAATATACATACATATATATACACACACACACACATACATTTATGCATATACACACATAAATCTGTATATACATATATAATGCAGTCTATAAAGATACATAAAATATATATCTTTATATAAAATAATTACAAGCAAATGAATTACAGAAAATAGCATCAAACTCTGTAAGAAACCCATTGGGAAAAACAAAAATACAAGTGATAGTATAATAGCAACAATATCATAATATATTCTACAAACTTCATTATCAATATTTCTATTCAACCTTGGCACTTTACACCCTGTCTTTAGATAATTCATCACACTCAACATTAGCTAATTATTTTATCTTTTTCACTGCTACTTATAAACCTGAGAGGATAAGAGAGAGAGAACTACTCTAATTTAATAGGTCTAGTAAAAATTCTATTTGATACATATTTTTTATTCCATAGTTAATAAAAAGTCACCACCTCAGTGTAGGAGTTGAAAACATGTTAGTGTAGATGTAAGTACTATTGGCATTTGAACTTGAGTGTGAAACTATAGTTCAAATAGTAAAACTAAGTATCAAGTCAAGATTGGAAAAAAAAAAGAAAAGAAAAGCAGAATTCAGCATTTCTGAATCACTTCAGAAATGATTCATGCATTTCAAAATAAAATTACACCTTTATTGTTCTAAGACTGCTTATGAAGGAAAGATTATAAAACCGTTAGGAGAAGAATCAGGACTTGGCTGTCTGAGTCAAATGAGAAGCATCACTATTATTTCATCAGGTATACATCAAGGAAGATGAAGAATAAAGATGCTAAATCACACTAAAGTTAACAATGCAGAAGTTACAGGAAAGAGGGGAACAATTCCAGTTAAATTGCTCCATTTATTTTACTAGTCATTAAATTAATAGAACACATTTGTATTAGCTATTTCTAATTTAGCTATTAGCTGGCATCTCCCACCCAGTTATTTCAGAATAAATAAGGTCTGGAGGACTGTCTTGTAGAGAGCTATCGGAAGTGAAGAATGAGCGTTTGCATTCTTAGGAAGTCGGTTCTTTTAAGCTTCCCAGTTGGCATCAGGGAGCCATAGCTGCCCTTCCTGCATCCAGTCTTTTCTAGAGCTTTCCTTGCAGGCCATGCGGTAAACAACACTGTGATTAAGGTGATGGGGTCAGAAATTCTGGGTTCAAGTCCTAGTTCTGCCACTTGCTACTTATTTGATCTTTGGTAAGAATTTAATCATTCCCTCATCAGGAAAATAAGATAATTACAACACTTATATCATAGAGCAGTTGGAAGGACCCATTAAGATAAGGCACACAAAATGCTAAATAGAGTGTCTGGGCACATGGTAAGCCTTTACCATACATGTCAGTATTATTATTTGCCCTTGCAATTATTATTAGCTTAATTGGTTTAGTAGTCTGTGAGTTTTGAAATTGTAATCAGGTTGTGCTTCCTTAAAATCAGGTGTGTGATTACTTAAATGCCAAGAATGAACTGTGACCAGCTAATAATTCTGTTATCTTTCTATCCTTTACAATACTTATCTCACAACTCCCCTAGGGAAGTGAGATTAGTTTAGTTTTGTTCACTGAGTGGGTGAGACAACAATATTCCCTAAATTTGGAATAGGATGATTTTATGATTCCTACCTAAATGAAAAAAATCAATTTCCTATGAATTGTATCTATGCCATTGCAAGTATTTATGATACACCCCAAAGTTAGAGGCACTGGAGTATAACTGATAACTATGAGAACTGGTCCTTGCTACCTGCAACCTACAGACATTTTCAGTGGGTCTTTTTGAATCAAGTCCTAGCACTCTAACGTGCCTTGAAAGGCTCCTTCTAGATCTGGCTGTTACCCTGTTACCTAACCTATGCGTGTTCTAGAATCTCAGTGAGCTTCTTTGCATTCCTCCTAAGGGCCAGGCTCTGTCCTGCCCCTGGGTTTTGGCACATGCTGGTTCCTCCACTTGAAACTCTCTTCTCTTCTCCACTGCTTCTCATAGCGCTTCACAAACTAGTCAGTGCATCCCAGGGGGTCTCTAGAAATCTTTGGGATCTCAAGCTGTTCACCCTAAGAATTTTCAAATTGTCTTTTCATTGTGCTGATGATCTAAAATAATTGGTATAAAAACATTTGGGGGCTCATCTGAACGATCACTTTATCACCACATACCTCTGCCAAATTCCAGCGCCATGTTTGTACTTAGGCTCACAGTGGGGCTTGTGTGGCAACTGCCATGGGCCACCAAGAAAAGAATAAAGATGAACTCAATAGACAAATGGACCTGGGGAGGGCCAGTGATAACGCAGTTCGAGCCTTCCGTGTGAACGGACTTTGGCAGTATCTGAGTGAGGGCTTCTGTGCTGGGCGATGAGTCCAACTGGTCCACAACTTTGTTTAAGCCACTGACAACCTCCATTCTTGCAGCATATATTGAACTCTAAGGAGTCAGCACCTTAGCCCCCAGGACCATAAACCCTACACAAATTGTGATTTACCATCGGCAGAATGTTAGGTAGAGAGGCAGCATGCCCCGTGCTCAGGAGCCGAGGCTCCAGATTCAGTCAGCCAAGGACCAAGTCCCATTTCCACCCTGCACTAGCTCTGTGACTGTGGGCAGGTGACTGAATCTCCCTGTGCCTCAGTTACTTCATCTGTAAGATGGGGATCATCACAGCACCTACCCGAGGAGGTTGCTGTGACAGTTAATGTAACCCCTCAGTGCGGTGCCTGGCATAGGTAAGTATTCAGCTTTTGCTACTATCAAGCTGTGCAGTTAACATGAATGGTGTTGGTTTCTGTTTGCAAGTGTTTTGTAATTTTTAAGATTATTGACATATTAGTGTCAGAAATCTGAGTTTATAGCAAGTCTTATGTTTATATATGTATTCAAGTTAACATTATAATAAAAATGCATCTATAGTGAGAATCTAAAAGACTCTCACTACTACGAACTAACTACTCCTCATCCTTTAGTCTTCGTTAACCATTGCTTCTTCCCCAAAACCCTCCCCGGCCTTGCCAGACAGGGTTCCAGGTCCCAGATATGTTTTCTCATATCCCAGTGGCAACCGGCAATTGCTCTGGCATCACACTTAGCATGCATGATTTTAATTACTTGTTTAAATATTGCCCTCAATGGATTAGAAAGTCCTTGAGGACAGGGACCTCTATAATCCCATAACCTGGCATAATAGGTAACACTCAGCAGGCCTTCAACAAATATTTAATGAATTAATGAATGTCAGAGCCAGTTATCTGTGTAACTACAATATCCCTAAATCTGCTGCAGTTGAGGCAGAAAAAGAACTGAGAGTATAACTGATAAGGTGGGAGGCAAATTAAAATCCTAGAGACAAGTGCTCCAAACCTAGCAAAACTCAAGCAGAAAAACCAAAGGGATTTGATACCACATAAAGTTGCATGAACACTGATTCAAGTTGCAGGAAGTTAAAGTTCAGAGAAGCAAAAAGAATAACAAAGAACATTCTAACCAAGGGCTTACAGTACATTCAAGTAGATTCATAAGAAAGTAATGATAAAACTTGTTATATAGAGATCTTTTAAAAATATATTTCCTATATCTTTTATGAATGAAGATGAGTTATTTTTCATAAATGCTGTTTGTTTACTTAATTATAGAAGGAAAATCCTATTTCTCTCCTTTTAATAAACCTACTAGAAACCCAGAAAATAGTGATTTTCTGAGGTGTTTTTGGCAAATTTAATCTAATTTCTCTCCTTTTCATTTTTATATTTTCCCCTAAGGTGGTTTCCCTTCTCCCATACACACAAACGCACAAGCATGCACGTGCGCACACACACACACACACACACACACACACATCCATCACTGCCTTAATGAACCATTGTCACTGAAGGTAGCATGTCTTATCCTCAGATATGTTGTGACAAAAGAAAGCAGATGTGGCTTTTTGAGGCTGGGACAATGTTTCCCTCTTCTGTGTCCCCAAGACACAGCACAGCCAAGGGAAGAAAAGGCTCCTTGAACAACAATGCCATTTCTAAGGCACTTTTGCTACAGGGTGTGTGTTTGCATAAATTGAAGGCCAAATAGTTACAAGGAAACAAACTTCAAGCATATTGAATTAAATAGATTTTGGAGGGAAATTTTAAGTATGCATTGGGCCTAGTTTATTTTTATCCCTAAAATGGATTCTGGTTTGGAAGAAAATCAGAAATTCATGATACTTTGGCTAAAACACCTCAAGTAACGCAGAGTTGGAAAAAAAAATACCACTGAAAATATTAACATATCACAGGTAAAGTTGCTTTGTGCCTAGATATTTTACTTCTGCTTAATTAACACTGAGCATTTATGGTATCTGGCTTTGGGCAGCCATGGTCTGGTTGGGAACTCCAGAACCTGGTAAGAGCATCCTGAATCCTAATGTAGAGCTTCCTCCACAAAACTGAGCTGCTACTTTTAACTTGCAACATCCCATCAAATAGTTCCTTTGGCTTAAAGCAGATTCCTTTCTCTTCTGGAAAGAGACACCCCTCTGCTAATAGTCAGCATTCCCCTCCCCTGTCGGCCCTCGGCCTCATCCTTCCCCAAGACCTCATCTTTTCTTCCCTGGATGTTTGCAAGAGGCTGCCAAGTGTTTCCAGTCTGGACTGCTTCCGACACGTCTGGACGGCCTCCGCCATGTCTGGACTGCCTCCGACATGTCTGGACTGCTATCAGAGCGATCTTTCTTGCACACAAATGGGATCATTAGACACAACCTACTCTACACCCACTTGGAATTCTTTAACAGCTTCCGAATGCCCCAGAATGGAATCCAATTCCTTAACAGGACTTGCAAGGTCCTTGGAGATGTGGCTCTTCCTGCCTTTCCGCCTCATTTCTTTCTACTTGACATATCAGATGACCCAGCTTTAGAAATCTGCTTTCAACACGTTCACGTTGTGTCTTTATAAAGATGGTTCCCTCTTCTTGGAACGTTCTTCCTCGCTTCTCCCTCTCTATCTCACAATTCTGTCCTCCTGGCCAACTCCTGCGCAGTCTTCCTTTTGCTAAGATGTCACCTCTTCTGGGCGACCCTGACTCTGTTCCTACAGTCTGGTCCAAACCTCCTTTGTAACAAACCTCACAATACTGCAGTCATTGCTCTTATTCTTATCTCGACCACTAGACTGGGTGCTCAGGAGGCTACAGGAACCCAGGCCAACTTAATGTTGAACTGATGAAGGTAAATCATTATACACTACCAAGCTACCAGAGCATGCCACATAATTCACTTCACGCCCAGCACACCTGGCCCTCTATGCATTTGATTTCATGATCCCACTACAGCTTCCCTAGACCATTTAAATTTTGGCTCATTCTCAAGCAAGATTTTCAATTCTGTTGTACATTTGACAAACAAAACAGAATTCCTAACATAAACTGCCCTCCTATTGCCCTTCTCCTAAAAATTCAGTTATCGTCACCCCATAGTCTCTGTCATTAAGGCCAAACTCTTTATTTGTGCATTTAAGGTCCTCTTTAATTTGGTTCTACTACATATTATTAAGTAATAAAATAACAGTTAACATGTATTGATGGCTTACTATGTGCCAGGAGCTGTTCAACGAGCTTTTATTAACAACATGGATTATCTTTTTAACAATCTTAGCAGATATATTTATACAACTCATACTCATATAGATCTCTTACCATGTACCAGAGACCTTTAACAGTAATTAAGACACTTAATCCTCACAAAAAAACCTATAGGTAGATACTATTATTACTCCCAGTTTTCAAATGAGGAAACCAAAGCAACAGGCTCAAAGTCACACAGCTGACAAGTGAGGCAGCTTGGGCTGGAGCCCAGGACGTGCCCACCCACGCCGACTCCCAACCGTCACATGACGCTGCCCCTGAGCGGAGCACAGCGTCATGACATACATGCCACCCTCCACTCTGCCAGGCCAAGCTCCTCCCCAGGTGTAGTCTTTTCCTCTTTTGTTCCTGCTTTCCTCCCTGGTTGGGAGGGCTGCCTCCCTCTTCTCTAAACAAATATTTACAATTCTTGTCCTCCAAAGCCTACCTAAAACTCATCTTTTCCTAGAAGCCTTTGCAGAAAAAATAGCCACCTTTAAGCTTTCTCCTGCCTTTCTATATTCTATGGCATATAGTGTCTACACCAAACATTTTGCCACTTAAGTCCTGTTTCATTTAGAACTTGATGATATACCATCTTTCATGGTTCTTTGTAATAAGTGGGCCTTGGGCCCCCAACAAAATTATGAGCTCCTTGAAGATACCAACTAGGTAACTTACCTATTCTGAAATCCCCCATAGCACCCAGCATTGTGACAGCCTTATATAGATGCTTTATGTATTTTTGTTGAAGTGTAAAATGAAGTCAGGTTCCCCCTTCCCTATATAGCAGATTTACTCAATTGTACCCTCTATAACTATATCATTGAAACCGAGCGAGCACTCTGAATAAATTCTGAATTTGCCCAATTATGTTTTACTTTTCCTGTTTAACTAACATGAAGCATTGGAAAGAAAAGAAAAATATTAGCAGAGTTAGGAATAAAGTTCAAGTCTCCTTAACTAAAACCACCAGAATAGGCCACATTTGGATGTAACTGAAAAATAAAATCAATGCTTCCTTGCGTCTACCATTAAAAGTCACTTAATTTATTTCAAATTTAATTTGTGTTTGCTATAATGGAACAGATCCACCCTAACCTGGATAAATGGGAACTATCTACTGCCTGGCAGAATCCCTTTGGCAGTATTCCCACATGTGCCAATTATTCCACTCTATTTTTGCAGTAACCTACTTGGCTGTGTCAGCTCCGCTGGTTATTAAGGTGTTAATCAAAAGCTCATGACCGTATCTTGCAGCCACATGGAGAGGAGTATTGCCATCCTTATCCACACAGTCAATTTCACCTCCTGAAAGAGATATTTTAATAAGTATGACACAAAGATTCAGGTTGATTCAGATACTACGTTCTATGCTAATCCCTCATGTCGACCATATGTTGATTTCTTTTCCACTCCAGTGTGCATCTCTGCTCTGAAGTTTAAGGCTGTTCTTTAAGGGAACAAATCACCATATGAAATAGCAGTAGTATTATATCTGCATAGAGAGAAGTCTATTAGAAATGCTTTTGAAAAACCTTTCTGCATTGTCTTATTTAAGGATCTAAAATCTTACAACTAGATTCCTGCTCTGAATGAACAATGTAATCAAATTCCATAAAATATCATTCTGAAGACATTCAATTTGATTTTACCTGCTGAATTAAAGACCTATATAAACCTCATGCTAAGCACAAGAACCAAAGGGGATAGAAAGTTCAGGAAAATATTTTATGTAGTCTGATTATCTAGATAAATTTGATGAGTAAAATGGTAAAAGCATGAACTATAAACTGAAAATGCCTCCATTTATAAAAACTATGACATTTATCATTTATGGTCATTTTAATAATACAGTATTTTCATCCTGTTTTATTTTGCCTTCTTTTCCCCCGACTTTTTATTGCACTACATTCCTTTCTTCTTTTCATGTGTGTGTGCATGTATGTAGATATAATTGATCTATTTGTTCATTTATCTGAGGAACCATTTAAAAATATCATAACGTTTCACCCCTAAGCACGTTTCTCCTAAGAACAGACATTCTCACACATTACCACTATTCCATCATCATACCCAAGAAATTTAACCTTGATAAAAAAAAAATGTTATGTAATATTAGGACATATTCCCATTTCTCCAATTGTCTCCAAAATGTGGTTTATAGTTATTTTATTGTTGTTGTTTTAATCCGGGATCCAACTAAAGATTCTGATAGTATTTAGTTTTCATGTGTCTTTAATTTCCATTAATTTAATGCAATCCTCTTGGCTTTTATTTATTTATTTTTTGACGTTTCTCATGTCATTGATATTTTTGGAAGCCATGTAGGATGCCCTGCCTTTTGGAGTTGTCTGATGAGTTCTCCTTTGTTAGATTCAGAATAAACATTTTAGCAAGAATACCCAGAGCTGATACATACTTCCCCCTGCATCTCCTCAGCACATGCATAGTTATTCCATTATGGGTCATGCAAAATTTGATTGTTTGCAATGGGTGCAAAGTTTCAGTTTGAGAACAGAAAAAGTTCTGGAAATGGATGGTGGTGATGGTTGTATAACAGTGCAAACGTATGGAATACCACTAAACTGTACACTTAAAAATGGCTAAAATAGGAATTTTTATGTTTTGTATATTTTACCACAATTTTAAAAAAAAGGTTTGATTACTGGGTTAAGGTGGTGCTTTGGAGAATTACTTAGCAAGTCCACAATTACTAGGCACTGAGGCTAGTCCCAACTTTTTGTTGTAAAGAAAAAACACAGGCATAAACATTTATAATTAATATTTATGTTTCATATAACTTCTTTCAGCAATATTTTTAGAAGTAGAACTACTGGATCAAAAGCATGAACATTTTTAAGCCCCTCAAAGACACGGGCAAACAGCTTTTGCGAAAAGCTGTGCCCATCTGCATTCCCCTTCAGCAGTATACTCAAGCACCGTGCCAAAAAGAAACCATTGAGAGGAAAATATATAATATGTATATATCTATGTAAAAATATAGATAATTATTGTCTATGTATGCTTCTGTTGTCATTTAAAATATATTTCAAGAAAACTTTGTAACACTTAGCAGAAAAAGATAAAAGAGAGACTGTATTTGTTATTTGGAAATATGTTTTCTATTAAAGTAGGCCCTCTTGATGAGTGAATTTCTATTTTATCATCACTCCACAAACCTTTCCATTTTCACTTCAAAACCTTTAAAATTTGCTTGGAATGCAAATTAAATATCTTGGCTGGGCATGCACGCTCATGCCTGTAATCCCAGCATTTCGGGAGGCCAAGGCAGAAGGATCACTTGAGACCAGTCTGGACAACATAGCAAGACACTGTCTCTATAAAAAAATTTAAAAACTTGGCCAGGCATGGTGGTGTGCACCTGTAGTCCCAGCTACTTGGGAGGCTGAGATGGGTCTAGGAGTTCGAGGCCGCAGTGAGCTATGATAACGTCACTGGACTCCAGCCTGGGAGACAGAGCAAAACCCTGTCTCTAAAAAAAAAAAAAAAAAAATAGAAATTAAAACTTAAAAAAATCTTTACTATTCATTTGAAGGTTGCAAGTTAATGTTGGTAATTTATCATTGATAATTAGTGAGAAAAACATCTGTGAGTTAAGAAGTATGCAGGGTATGTCAGAAGGAAAAATTAATCAGCATTATCTAAGCATTCATCTCAGATTAGTTTTTATTACACAAACAAGAATGGTCATCTTATTAAGTTGCCTCAGAAGGATAGTGAGCCAAAGGGTCAAAAATCCCACACTGAGTCATCCTAACCAAGAACTTGACTCTTCCTTTTCAAACACTATTTATTTTTAAAGCTTCTTGAATGAAACATTAACTTTGAACTTGTTTAACCTGCTAGTGCAAATGGCCGCATCAAAAGCCTCCTGATACCAGATTGTGTCTTTCAGCCCCTTTCCCTCTCTCACTGTGACAATGCAGCCTCAGACAACAAAAATGCGATTTGACAGCAGAGGCAGTCTTTGCTTATTAAATAAAAAAGAAAAGGGTATTTTTTAAGTGATTATCTTACAAAGCCGGATGATTCTGGAACTACAAAGCTACTGTGAAGAACCAGTAACCCTGACTGGAGAGTAGTCAGGGAAGCAGAGAACTACTATACAAAGTCCAAACACCAAAGCAATTTAACCAAGCAAACAAATAAATACAAAGCACATTCCTCAGCAGCAAGTTCGCTTGGTTCTGGGAGCTGAGAGATGCTCCCCTGCGGTGCCCGTGCTCCAGCTCCTGGAGGATGGAGGGGCCTTGCTGTGCCCCAGTGGAGGACACCAGGTTCCTGGGGACATGAGCCTCCGGACAGGGACGGTCCTGGCAGCAGCCCAGGATTTTTCCAGCAGGAAGCCAACGAACAGGAAGAAAAGAACTTCCTATTCTTCTCCCCAAGGGCATTTCAAAAAATGTCAGATGGAAGAATTCACAGCTCTTGTATGTGTTATGAATGCAAAGAACTGTCAACTGAGAGAAGAGAATGTCAAATCATCCTTTTACAGGGACACCTCTATTTTAAATATAAGTGACTCTTAGAGTAAGTAGAATTCAAGCAAAAAAAATATTTTTGTAACATCATTGGTCTTCCAGAGATCATGTTTATAAGCGTAGTAAAGTCTCCAATGTCAGACTGCCTGTGTTCAAATCTCTGTTCCTTAACATACTAGCCATGTATCCTGACACAGTGACCACCTCTCTGCCTCAGCTTCCTCATCTTTGAAATGGAGGTAATAATAGTACCTCTTTCTCATAGGGTAGTTGAAAGGTTTTATATGGGGTATTTAGCTAAGTGCCTGGCACAGTGTGAACACTCAACCAATGTTAGCTTTATCATTACACATAATAGGCTATATAATAGCTGCTACATCTTCATCAATCCAGGCCCCTGGTCCCCACCCAACCCAGAAGCAAGATGCCAGTCCAGACAAGAGTGAGACAGGCTCTGAAACAAAGATCGCTTGATCACTGAGGATAAGAGATGGGGTCTCTTTTAGGTCTTGCCCCGATTCAGAAGGCTAGCAAGAATGTCCAGGGAGGGCATGGAAGTCTTTTAGCCCACAGGATGGCTCCTGCAGAGAGGTCAAACCAGCCAACAACCCCCTGGGATTATTGTAAGCTTACTACCAGGACAGAGGGGAGATGCACTCTAAAAGGGAACAAAGCTGCTTATGTCACTGAGCTAATGTCCAGTAATTAAATTTACATTTTTTTAAAAAAGTTTTGTTTGTTTTTAAGGGGGTGGAGATTGTTTCTGAAAAACAGTTGAGAAATACAGCAGGATAAGAAAAGTGCTCCAAAGAGAGAAACTTGTATCGCTCCCACCCCCTTTTTTTCATATCCAGCAAAATAAAACAAAATGGCCTTTTTAGTAGAATGAATGTCAAAGGCATTTGGGCATGTATTCCAAATTAGATATAATGGGTGCTTTGCAGTTAATTTCCATTTTACCTTCCTTGGCTCGCTGGAAACTTGTTAGGATTTCTTTTCTCCTAACAACTTCACTGTAGTACTGATAAATTTTCTTTGTTTTGCAGCAGATATTTTGCTTCCTAAGCATAATTTCACTAGATGATCTTCCATCCAAATGTCAAATGATGACTTTGTTTTATCACTTGAGTGCCTAAGATATAACTCAGTGCCACTGATAATTCAAGTGTATGTCATCCAAAATTCTTATAGATGAGAAAAATACAGGTCCAAGGAAATTGACTAATATAAGAATTTTGAGAAGTGGAAATGTGGGTCAACTAAAAATAGTTTAGGAACTGTTAGATAGACCTGGAATGTCAGCTTAAGACCTGAACTAAACCCTGTTTTTTTTTGTTTTTTGTTTTTTTTAATCATCTCTAAGATTTGCTGAGATAACAGAAGTTGTGTTTTCAAAGTCAACTCACTCACAGATGCTGGTCATGACCCCCTATTAGTAGCATGAACCATGATGTGAGGTGACACTCCTTAGTACTTTGGCTTCAGAGACAACCCAATGGTTCAAGTATACCTTTGTTGTGGGCCTGGAAAAGTACTATATGATGTGACTTTCCAAGGTCTCTGTCAAGCCTGTGATTTTATGATCCTTTAAATCATGTACTTACCTGCTTTTCCTCTGAGTCATCTCATTGTTCCTACCTTTGCCCAAGTAGCTCAGTGAGCTTCAACTTATGGAACTATGGTGAATTCTAAAAATCTAAAAATAATTCAGATTTGTTGCTAGAAAATGTTTGCTACTTATCTTTATTAATTTCAGAGTGAACAGTAACAGGATCTTGATCCTATTTAAGTATATAACTTCCCAATTTCAAAGCTGGCATGTTCTTTGCCTACCTGGGAATTGAAGAGCTTTTAGCAAAGTACATCAAAGTATTATGCAAATCCACACTTACTAAAACTCTAAAACAGAGCATCAAAGTTCACATTCAGATGACTGACAGCCAAACTCAGACCAAGAAACTATTCACATAAAGACATTGCTGAAGCATCTCGCTTACCATTCTGAATGAGGGTTTGTGACCGTGTGAACCGTCCATGGACAGCTGTCATGTGCAGTGGACTTTTGCCATCTTTACTCTAAAAAGATGAGGGTGACAGAAACAATGGAGGTAGTCAGGAGCCAGTGACATCAGTCTGAAACACCCCTATGGACACTGCTGACAATGCACAGAAAACAATTCAAAAAAAATTTTTTTTTAAAGTATGATCAACTATTATAAGAGGCAAACATAATTTTGAAAGAAAAAGATAAAATGTATATGACCTCTTGAGTTACTGTATAACATCACAATTTATTTTCTTTTTCTTTTTTTTTTTTGAGACACAGTTTCACTCTGTTGCCCAGGCTAGAGTCCCGTGGCATCAGCCTAGCTCACAGCAACCTTAAACTCCTGGGCTCAAGCAATCCTCCTGCCTCAGCCTCCCGATTAGCTGGGACTACAGGCATGCACCATCATGCCCGGTTAATTTTTTCTATATACTTTTAGTTGGCCAATTAATTTCTTTTTATTTTTAGTAGAGATGGGATCTCCTTTGCTCAGGCTGTTGAAACCTGACCTTGAGCCATCCTCCTGCCTTGGCCTCTCAGAGTGCTAGGATTACAGGCGTGAGCCACCCTGCCGGGCCTAACATCACAGTTTAAAGAAGCTTAAAGAAACAACCACCTAAAATATATATTTTTTTCTCCTGTGATCTATTGATGAAGATTTACTCCATGGTGTTTTTTTCCAACTTTTGTCTATAGTGCACACACAAAAAAAGACAAATGATGTGTTAACTTACATGGTCTTGTTTGACCTGAAGTTGACTAAACTACTATAAATCACTGCAACTCTCAAAACTAACCTGGAACCCTTCACTGTTCCCTACATTCTAGTTCCATTAAAAAAAACCCACTTTTTATTGTTCCAAAAGAGAAACTCTTGCTTTACTTAACTCATTAGAATCACAAGATTAAGGCATGCAACTATTTATCAAATTCCCATTTGAATGATTAGCTGGAAATGTGTGCTGAATTGATAAAACTTTTTATTCATGATATAAATTATAGAACTTCCTGACACAGATTAAGCCAAAACACGGAAAATATACAGAATCTATATACTAGTCCTCATTATACCAAAGTCCTACATATTTAATTAAGGAACAGTTATTTACAGAATTTCTTCTGAAAATAGGCCCAAAAGAAAATATTACTATTATCTTAAACCAAAAGTATTCCCAATAGAGTTAATGTGTTTTCATTAAAATATTGTTTAAAAAAAAGAAGAAAATCTATGTAACTCTGTTATTTTTCTAAGTTTTAGAACAAACATTTCTCTAAGTCTGAGATTAAATATGAGGCTTCAAAAAAGCATGTTCATTTTTGTGATGAAACTCAAATACCTATGCTTTAAAATGACCCTTTGGTTTAAAAACTCCACATTGGAAAACAAGTAATCATTTAAATAAGTATTTATTAGAATGGTCCAAGGGCTGCCTACCTCTGAATCTCCCAGGGTTCTTGATAAAAATATGAATTCTGTGCCCTAACCCAGATCCACTGAATTGGAGTTGGGGTAAGAGGGTCCCCATTTCTAACATTCACAGCATACAATGCTTAAGAACCACTGCTTTAAACTGTGGGCTAAAACAGCTTATAAAACTATAATGTTTTAACACAAGAATTTTATTATCTCTTGTAAGTCTATTCCTTAGAAAGAAGGAAAAGAGTTACACACTTTGTGCTAAGGAAACAGCCACAGCGGCAATTTCATCTTGATTGTAAAAAAAAAAAAAAAAAAAAATCATTATAGTCAAAGGTTCTCAGGTAGAAGAGGGAAAAAAAGAAACAACAGGATCTTCTCTCCATCTGACATGACTATAACCTAAATCAGAAAAGACTGAGAAAGGAGGATGAAAGTAAGCTTGAAGCTTTACCGGAGATAATATTTGTAGAGGAAAAGGAGAAGCAATCCAGAGAATAAGAACACAGTACCACCACTAAGCACAAGACACATAGCAAAGGAGAGCTCCTAGAAGTTATCTGATTCCAGAGCTTTGTCTTGGCTGTCAGAACTGTCGATAGTTCCAAGGACTGAAAAGCCTGGGAACTACTTTGGAGTAAGGATTTAAAACATACCCTTTCAATAAAAAAGTGATGACAGTCCAAGACTGTTAGTTAAGCAGGGAGAAGGCAGAAATTACAGAGCTGACATAACTTGTCCCTAGGTGGTGCTATTTCTTTAAATTTTGCTCCAATATTTTTTTCTTTAATATGAAACTATAAGTATTTATTATTTCATTAAATATATATAAAGGTATACATACTTCACTGTTTAGGAAATGTCTTCATAAAAATTTAGCAAAGCTCTTAGCTACACCTGGAAAAGAGCTTAAAGGGTGTTAGCTGTCTACCAAAGAGAGCCAAAGCAACTGGTTTCTACAGTGTGAAGTTTGGAAAGCTGGTCCTGTTTTTAGGGAAAGCAAACACTGCACCTTTCTTCTCCCTGGGGGTGCTTGTGCCTCTAGTAAAGAGACAAATAAACAGAGATGACCAAAGTTAGGTAAAATGCAAAGGACAGCTATATGGTCAGTGGTGATGTTTGCTTCAGATCTGTCCTTGCAGATCTTTGCCTGGGTTCATCTGCTATCGAGTCCAGGCCATAGCTGATTTTTTTCTCATAGAGATATAGGAGACAGAGATGGGGAAGATGGAGACAGGAAGCATTAAGAATATCATGGCAGCCACTTTGGGGTAGCTTTGTTCAAATGGCACAGGTAGGTACAAAGGGAGCTCATTATTTCAAAAAGCCATTGAAAACCAATGAAGCTCAAAAGGATAATACTTTTTATTTAGCCTTTAAAAGTTAGAACTTAGAATATTCAGTTTGAGACTCCGGAATCCTACTGAGTTTCATCATCTCTCCGAGAAATTTTTCATGCAGGAGAACTGGCTGTTGCTGCTGTTCCTAAAACTTCAGACAAAGATAATATATTCCTTGCCTTCTCAAAGCAGAGGATATGTTCAATTCTTCTATTTATTCAAACCTCTTATAAAAATTTTTCTTAACTTCTAGTCTCCTTTCAATTTTTCTAGATACATTTTTTCCCATTAGATTTAGGGCTTTGAAAATTCTATTTTGAGAATTCATTTAATCAAGCAAGAAGCCCTTCTATTGACTTAGGCATGGTCAAACCCTAAGGCATAAAGGAAAACTAATCAGGATCAACAAAATTTTATGACAAATATTAGTATTCTTTCAGGGTAGGACTCAACATTGCCCAAGGAAGATTAATCTTTGAACTAAATGTTTTAATTTTCTTGACTGCATTCTTCTCAAAAATCTATTCATTCTTTTCTTCCATTCCTAAGGCCTTCTGTCCTCATCCTCTAACGTCCCACGAACCTTCCCTAAACTTACAGATGTTGTCACTCCCCAGGGTCTTGAGAGCATCCTGTGGCATGGTGGCCCCTGGAGCCACACAACTCAGTGGCTGTACTGGAGGGAAATAAAGCTTCTATGGGATAACACTAAGGCCAGCTCAGGGTGGGGTGGGGTCGAATATAGTCAGAAACCCAATAAGCCTTCCTGATTCAATGGGACAGGCATCTAAAACACTGGTTTGAAAAAGCCATACATAGTCTGAGTTGTTTTGTTCTGTTTATAGCGGTTGTAAAGACCAGAATTGGTACATGGTTGGCTTGGACATTCCCCACTTCCTCTTCAAAGACTCAAGTGTCATGTCCCTATGTCCCTATCACTGCCTACTCTTGCCTATTTCAGTTTTCAACTTCTGCAATGCAACTCATTCTGTAATTTGGTCCTGGCAAAGATAAAGAAGGGAACTGGTCCATTTTAGCAGACACGTGATGGGCTTCAGCTCCAGTCTCTTAGGGCTAAATGAGCCGAGGGCCCATGGACAGAAAAGAATCGAGACCATGAGTAAGCTAACTATTAGTGACCAGGATGTAGGCAACCTGGCAACGGCAGCTTCTGAGTCCATCTTCCTAAATCACATCCAGCATGGCTATGGGTATAGTTCCTTCTTTAACACTTACTCTGAAGGCTTACAAAAAAGAGCCTTGAGATGCTACAAAAATTACAATGTGGTCTGTGATGGAGAAGACAAATTATTTTATACTTTTATGCTCTTCCTATTTGCAAATTTCAAGGAAACCTTCAATGGATTATTTTGTAAAGTATCATATTTTCATTATTTTATCACAATTAAACTAATATTACAAAGTCAAAGACAGAGCCATGGTCAATCTAAGCAAAATGAGGGACTGCAAAATAAGTGCAGAACACACAGCCCTTCTCCTCTTTCCATCCATCTTGTAATAGCTCATGAAGACATCACTTTTGGTGTCTTGTGAGAACAGTGGAAACAAAGAAAACATGTGGGTGGATATTGGCTGCGTTTCAATATGCTATTTCCCTCAACCTTTGGAAGATCTAAACAAATACAAATTGTCTTGCGATCTACAAACACTTTCAAAATCCAAGGAGCAATGTGGTACAGAGAGATAACAACTTTAATTAGAAAGCTACCTCCAGAGTCAGACAGGATGGCTCTACGGAAATGTTACACGCTCCGTGCATCCAGAGTGCATCTAGAATAACTAAGGAGGATTCAGACAGAATTAGGAAATCAGAGGATGTAGACAGAGTAAATGAGGGGAGACTGAAGGAGGAGGCTAGATTTGATTCAAAATCCTATTTACACAGATTAGATAATACATAAACTCAAACCTCAGATTTTTAAAGTGGCATTTCTTATGTTCTGTTTACGATTAGCAGTCCACAAGAAGAAATTAAAAGTAAGTAACTAAGCTTTTCAGGTCCATTTTGTGAGAGAGAAGAGAGGGCTACATAAACCAGTGCACCACAGCAGCCAAAGTCCCTCATCCAAGCCGAGCTGACCGCTAGCCAGCTAACTAGGGCCAGTAGGCAGGCGTGCCAGGAAGTGGCCTTCTAGCCTGGGGCATCAGCCTGCCTAAAGCGTCAGTGGCATGTTTTATGGCGGTGATGGCAAGCATTAGACAGCCCTGTGAATTAGGCAAGTGGAGGTTGGTAGAGAGAGCTCCTTTATTTAACTTCGACAATTTTCCTTCCTTTGAAGGATTCACAGAATGTCCCTCAGATACCAGGATGGTAGACAGAGATCCACAGTCCTGGGGACACTGATGGTTTGGTCACCTGTGTGCTTCCTGCCTGCCCCCTCACCACCACACTCTGCCACAACAACCCCACTTGAAGACTCTCTCCCCAACCTGGGCGACAGTTCCTAGGTCTGTTCAATGCCCCTGAAGACCTTCATCTTACCTCCTTCTAGGGACCTTGAATGGGCATCACTTACAAGATCTGAGACTCGGAAACTCTACTTCTATTCTACTTTTCTATTTCTGCCTGGTTTCCACCTTCAGGAAAACATACTGTCTTAATTTCCTTTCCGGCACCTCTAATGCTTCTTTTTTCATTCCTTTCTCTGGGTCTTCTTCTTCCTCCTGATCCTAGGAGTAAAGGACTACTAGAGTCCTCCCTCCCCTTCTCTACTCATCATTCTTTTCTCCCAGTTTTGACCATCACCTTGATGTGAATGAGGCAACCTAAATTTTCCCTTCTATTCTCTACCTCTTCCCCAAGCTAGAGTATCACATTTCCACTATTGGGTTTCTCAGTCTGCCGATACCAAAAGCTCAAAATCAGCTTCTCAAAAACTAAACTCATCAGTTTTACCTCCTAAACCTACTCTTCCTCCTGACATCCCTCTTAATGAATATTACTAATAATACTCATTCATGGAGTGCTTCCCACATGGCAGATACTGTTCCACATGGTTTATGCAATCACTCTAATTCTTCCATGAAGTTAGTTCCGTAAAGAAGATACTATTGTTTTCCTAATTTTACAGAGAAACAAACTGAGACTCATAGAGAAGGGGTTCATGATTATATAAGTTACCAAAAGTCAAGGTTAGGATTGGAGTCTAGACAGACTAGCCCCAGAATTGAAGACTTAACTACCATGCTATACTACCTCTCTTAACCAGATTTCAATCCTTAGTCTGGACTTCAACTTCTCCATCTCTCAGCCTGACAAGTCCTGTAGATTTTCCTTCTGCAAAGCCTCTCCCTTCAGTTGGCTCTTCCAATTCCCCTGTCCTCATTCCCTCTTATCTAGACCAGTTTTAGTGACTTCCAGCCATCCTCTAATCATCTCCTCTCTAGGTCCGTTACACCTGGATTTTCTTTTACCTAAAATGAAAATAAATTTTTATTTCTTCCAGATATATAAATAAAACATGTCCATAGCATCACAATCAGAAGATAAAAACAAATATACAAAAAAGCAATTAAAAATCCAAATCATAATTTTGTCTCTCTGTAGTAATAACTGTTGCTAACATATTGGTAACTAGATTTGATTCAATACTCCAGAGATTTTTCTCTCTCTTTGCATACACACAGACATATAACTTTTAAAAATTAAAAATGAGATCATGTTTCTTGTGTTTTAATTTTTTCATTGATAACACTGAGTATTATTGATCTTTTTGATATTTGCTAATCTGTAGGGGGAATATATGTGTTCATATTAGTATTAGTTTGCATTTTTCTAATGATACTGAATATTTCTTCATAGCTTTAATGGATTTTGTGTTGTCTCTCTTATGATCTGACTTTGTTCCATATTTTCTAGTAGTTATCAGATTTCTCACTGATTTGTATGAGCTCTTTATATACAAAGCATATTAACTCTTTATCATGTATATTGAAGAAAATTTTTCTGAGTTGTTTTTATTTCAATTTTGTCTTAGAGTTTTTCATTGTTGCTGTTTTCTTATATAAAAGTTTTTAAAGATTTTTATGTAGTCATATATACAATTTTTTTCTTCTGTCTTTTCTGCCTTTGGTGTTCTGTGGCCAGATCACTGTCCTAATCCTCAGGTCTTATCCTATGACCTCTATAATGATTAGTGGCCCCCACAGCCTATAGAAGCCCAAATTCCTTGGGCAGTAGAGGAGCTCTCTTCTGTGGTTATGTCACATTGCAGCTTATCTCTGGCCCCTTTCTTTTACACAGTTAAAAGAAACTGTGTAAAAGTTTCTTTTAAGGTTTTTTTTAACACAATAATAAGGTTTCTTTTAACACAATAAATTGTTCAACATAATAAACTGTTCAACACAATAAATTGTTATTCTATTCAACACAATAAATTGTTATTCTGAGACTTTGTCCTATCTTTCACCACTATTAAAATTATGAGGAAAAAACATTAAAAAATTTTAATAGTGAATAAAGATGGTCATTAAAATAGATGGATGTGATATTCTTAAAATTACACCTTGGAAATCATATATTTCAAAAGCAGAGACAGAATACACTGGGACCATGCTTCAGGATTCCTGTGTAGTGGGAGAAGGGAAGCTAAGAATGAACAAAAGGTCTCCTGTCATAGGTTATTCTGCTACAGTCTAAATGCATTCAAGTGATGTAACTCGGATCATGAATGCTACATGCATAGGTTCTCCCTGGTTAGACATCACAGAGAGTGGACTAGTCCCCTAAAGTTTACCCAGAGCTTTTCCTGTCCACAACTCCTGCCCCCTTTGCTCATGCTCCTCTCTCTATCTGGAAGGCCTTCTTCTCTTAGATTATCCCTGGCTCTTCTCGTCTCATCTGATATCAATCTTCTAAGTCTCAGCTCAAAACCAACCTTCATTTTTGATCCTCAAGCAAGAAGCAAGTTAATACTTGCTTCTTATAGTTTGCAATGCTTTATTACTCTCTTGTTCCATTCATCACGTTCTCTTTGCCTCATGATTACCTGGGTGCAGGTTATTTCCCTACCATACTATAAATTCCTTGAGAGCAGAGATCATATCTCATCTTGGAATAATCCTCCGGTACCAAACAGAGGGCACTAGGTAGTCCTTATGCTGAATAAAGGACTGATCATTAGGACTGAGTCAATGCTACATCTCTGAAGCCACTATCTGGGGTTTGCTTTAGGAAGGTATTTAAGAAACTCCTTGGAGGGCCATGCTGGAATTGAAACAGGCCTATGATCATTAATTAGGCCTTCCTTTGAATTGTCAGCAGCTCTATCAACTCAACATTCACCTCAGTATTAGAATCTAGGCTGAGGCAACATCCTTGAGACCTTGCATTTGTCCTGCAACATTCACTAAGGTACCAAAGACAGGTGGCTGGAGCCTCAGTGCCTTCCAGCTGGTTCCACCGCTCCTGTAGGAACAACACAGCTGTTAACCTGTAGCATCCCAATCTGGGATAAGGCTGTGTGAGTCCAGGTGCTCAGGGTTACAATTTACTAAAACATAGTATAATTTACAGCAGTTCATTTTGCTCAGAGGCTCAATGCGAAGGTATTTAACACAGAGAGAAACTAAGTAAGAGTGTCATACCTGAATGTTCACATCTGCCCCGTTGTTTACTAACAATTCAAGACACAAAGCACCGTGGGTGGAGGCAGCAGCAAAATGCAAAGGGGTGAAGCCATTGTTGTTGGGCTGGTTCACATTAGCGCCGTAGTCAATCAGCTCATTAACTACAGAATCCTGTCCGTTGTAGCAGGCGATGTGAAGTGCCGTATTTCCGTAGACATTGATTTCGTCGATCTGCAGAAGAGTCCAACACGGGACAATTAAAATTGCCGGAGCCAATTTACACTATTTTCCGCAAAAAGCCTAGTGGCTGTGTCTAGAGAAAGGAAATATCCATCCATCAAAACAGTTATTCAGCTTCCTCTTGCCCCAGCGCTGTCATCCTGGGAACGCTTGTCGCCCTGAGGTAAAGATCAGCGAAAAGTGAACGTGACAGAGGAGAGGAAGAGTCAGAGGATGCATCCTGTGGAGGGTATTTTTGGCTAGGGAAGGGAGAAGGGGTAAAAGAGAAAGTTGCTTGCAAAACAGCAGAAGAGAAGTGAATCAGGGGGAGCAAGAAAAGAGCCCCGAACTCTAGGGCTGGGCACAGTGAACATACAGAGAGGGTGGGAGATGGCAGGGGAGGGGGCCGTGCAGCCTAAACACAGAAGTCAGGCTCAGAACTCACTCCGGGCTTGCTCTGTGCTCTCACACCTCACCAGGCCACATTCCCATGCCAGCAGCAAAGCAGCGGCGCCGTCCTGAGGTGTGGTTAGGCAGTGGCTCCCTATTGCTCTCCGAGACCTGCCCCGGGTGCTGGGTTTCACCACGGTGGTGTCAATATAGCAGGCGTCCTCGAACTACGGTCCCCCTAGGACATTTATCCAGTCCTCTGGGTGTTTTTGCGGCCATTGCCTGTCCTGCCTAGCAGCCAACTCCTCCCGGGCCCACAGTGCGCATGTGTGGAATGTGCGCCGCCACAGGCCCTCCAACGCCGAGGGATAGTGAACTGACCCCCTGTTTAGAAGTTTGAGGACCCCTGCAGTATAGCAACTTGGTTTTCCTTCCCTGGGGGGGGGGCGAAGCAGGCTGTTCCAGCCTCACCACTGCTCCTGTTCCCCACGCTGAAGGAGGAGAATGGGGCAGGCCCAATTCTCCAGCTCAGCATGAGACGCTACTGCTGTTTGTCCCTGCCACCCATTCATTCATTTCAGCTGTAAAAGGCAAGATTCTGAAGGTGGGATGGGGAGCCCTAGCCAGGTTTTCTTAAATGGCTGGTTGATCTATATCACATAGAATACGTATGTCAATATATTTATCTATGTTGATAAAGTTATTGTGTTTCTGGTTTCCTAGTACTTAGTCTATGCCCCCATGGCCCTTCATTCGTTGCCTATGTAAACTCAGTAAGGCAGGATGCTAGAAAATGTTTTTCCCCCTCTTTGAAGTAAAATGCAAACAGGATTTAATTTCAGAACAACAGAAAACCCACAAATACACAGGCCATGCAGTGATGCATTCATCATAGCTCACCTCCACCCCGAGATTCAGGAGATGTTTGACAACGTTGATCTGTCCATTGGAGGCTGCAGCGTGGAGAGGGGTGTAACCCTTCTTATCCTTACAGGTCACTTCCGCGCCGTGGTTAATAAGCAATGCCACAACATCCAGGTGGCCTTCACAAAAAAAGCAGCAGAAAACATCGTTAACCTTTATAGGACAATTCGACGATCCATTTCACCTAAGTTATCACTATTAGCTTTTATTGCCACCAGCAATTTGCTGAGGTATTTATAAAAAGCTTGTTCATGGCAAATACTCAACAAATATTTACTGAATACCTACTACATATAGGACATTATATAAATGCTGTGAGAAGAAAAAAAGATTCATATGTGATCCTTCTCTTCAAGAAGATATAGGTGATGCCTGTCACCATTTCAATGAATGACAAGATCTCACCAAGGTATTAGTACCAAAGCCTAAAAAAAGGGTGTGTTAAAATGAAAGCAATGATTTTTAAAACAATTGGCATTCTTCCCTGAAAAGTCTAACAATGACAATTTAGTTTGGAAAAACTGATGAGAGAAAAAAAAATTAATTGATCAGAATGATCCTGGATTATTGTTAAATTATATGAGATTGCTGCTGTTTAACTTTTTTTGATGCACAAAAATGGCAATTTCACATGGCTGAACTTAAAAGTATTCTTATGAATTAGTGGCTAAACAGAAAACCCTTCTAGTTTCAACTCTTGTTGGCAGTTTTTTTAGAATATTTTAATCTGTTCCATAATCACTATAAATAGTATGATAAACATATTTGACCTTTAGTTTATGACTGAAGATTGCTTGATGCTTCAGGGTCATTACTTTAAACACGGTTGATGATTGAAGGGTAGAAGACAAGTACTGACTCCAAGCAGTCAAGTGTGTGTGTGTGTGTGTGTGGGGGGGGTGGCATTGGCTTGTTTTATTGACATTTGACCCTTTTCTCCCTGAGACTTGTATATAGAAAAAATTATTTTCAATTACTAGTGGTGCTATCTCAAGCTATTTGTCCTCGTTTTGTCCTATTATTCCTTAAAGATAAGTCATTTATATATTTTTTCCTATTCGTATCCTGATGACACACACACAAAAGAACGACTTTACTTCTTTAAAGTCATTTACCTAAATGATTTAACTATAGATACATCAGCAAAAAACGAACGTGAAACCCCAGGTCCTTTGTGTCCTATCTCACACTAGCTCAACTGTGTGTTGTGCCTATACATCTCTCTCTTGGCAAACAGTCCCTGGCTCCAATCCTATAGGTAATCTGCTTCAACCAACTTGAAAATCTATGTCCCCTTTTTAGAAAAATGCTAATGCTTGTAAAATTTTTTTTTTTTTTTTGAGACAGAGTCTCGCTTTCTTGCCTAGGCTAGAGTGAGTGCCATGGCGTCAGCCTAGCTCACAGCAACCTCAAACTCCTGGGCTCAAGCGATCCTCCTGCCTCAGCCTCCCGAGTAGCTGGGACTACAGGCACGAGCCACCATGCCCGGCTGATTTTTATATTATATATATTAGTTGGCCAATTAATTTCTTTCTATTTTTATGGTAGAGACGGGGTCTCGCTCAGGCTGGTTTTGAACTCCTGACCTTGAGCAATCCGCCCGCCTCAGCCTCCCAGAGTGCTAGGATTACAGGCGTGAGCCACCGCGCCCGGCTAATGCTTGTAAAATTTTAAGATTCTTGTTTTATAAGCCCAAGGATCCATTCAGACCCATCTATGGCCAGATAATTTATTTCACTCCTGCCCCAACCCACTTTTTTTCTCATACAAATAATGTTAATTTTTAAAGTGATGACAAAGGGCACATATGCTTGTTAAAAAGGATTCAGAAAGGCAAAAAGTTGCCAGAAAGAAACCAAAATCACCCGCAATCACCAATTCCTGAAGATAATCAATTAATATTTTAGTGTATAATATTTTCCAGATTGGTTTTTATTGCATAGTTTTTTTTATGAAAATGAGGATATTATTCATACTGTTTTATAATCTGCTTTCACTCAACATATCACAGAATCTTTCTGTGTTAATAAATACCCATGGAAATCATCACTGTAGTTACTGCAGAGTGTTCCATTGTTTAGATCTTCCATAATTTGCCTAAACAATCCCCTGTGGATGGGTATTCAGGTCATTTACAACTTGGTGCTGATAGAATCCTGTCTTCTTTACTAATTGCAGGATGTTCTCCAATTAGATACACAAAGGGAGTATCTTAATTCTTCATTTCCCACAAGTTCTACACTGAGAATAAACTCTGTATGGTCCATCTTTTGTCAATGGCATTTGTGCCAACAAAAGTGAAATGTAAAAACATAAAAATACAACCTCTTCCTTCATCTCCCCCACCCAAGTGAGCGGGCATTGATGAGGACTTTCAAGCCCCAGCTTTGTCTAGTGGAGTATCAGGATAATCTGCAGTGACTCTGGTCACCTCCACCTATAAAATAGTCTGGGGTTTGTCCTTTCATCCTTCCTTTTTCTTTTTCTTTTCAAAAATATTATCAGCAAAAAGACAAATGGAATTTGTGTCCTAGCTTCCCTAGGCAGTCCTCTTTCTTTTTAAAATACCTTATTTTGCTGCCATGACAAGTTCAAATAAGTACAATGTGTGCAGATTTCCAATCCAGACTGAAGCACATTCAAAGAGGTACAGGCCATGATTCATTCCTCCTCTTCCTTTGCAGGATAAATAAATCTCTGACAAAGCAACTGCCCTAGCAGAGCACTCTATGTATGCCAGTAAAATGAACCGAATCTTCATTTAATTGGAATCCAAGCTTGAAAAGAAGTGAGACTTTCCCAAGAGAAAACCTACAAGGTCAATGAAAGCCCCATGGCTTAGTTGGTTAAGGTTATCTGCACTTTGCTTTCCATGCATGAAATCCTTACCCATATAAGCTGCCCAGTGCAGAGCACGTCGGTCCTTCTTGTCGAATGCGTTGATGTTTGCCCCTTTGGCCAAGAGTAAATTGACCATCTGAAAGATAACCAACAAATCAAACATATACTCTGTAATAATAAGGCCTCCTCACTGCCTGTAGGTGATCTGAGCCAAATGAACAACAAATCTAAAGGCAAGTCAGAGAACTGGACTTCTAACAAAGTGGGAAGACGATGTCACAGCAGACCCTGTGTGGCATGTGTGTCAGAAGAAAAGAGTGAATGTCAGCCTACTTTTTCAATGCATTGTGGCTCCAAATATAAGAATGGATATAGGTACTGAAGGTTTGGTGTACAAATATTATCATCACATTCTCTATGAGTGTGATGGCTAAGAGGATCTGTAGGGGGTGTTCTAATTTCCAATGATGATAACACCTACCTCCACATGGCCATTCAGAGCTGCATGGTGCAAGGCTGTGCGCCCCCCTCGGTCGGAGACATTGACGCTGCTCAGCAGGGGAATGATCACTTCTGCACATTTGACAGCCTTGTTGGCTGCTGCCACATGCAGCGGGGTCTGCCAGTTCTTGTCCCTTGCATTGACATCAGCTGAGTGCTTAATCAATACTTGTACTGCTTCCTACAACAAAAGCAGAGTTTGCAGGGGTCACTGACAGGTGCTCAATCAATACCTATTGGGTGTAAGATGCTTCCCCAACCCAGGAAATATGGAGAGAAAAGAAAGATTCCCTGCCTTCACAGGCTGGCTCAGAACAAGCTAGGTAACATGTGATAAAGACCAAATGAGTGGCACAGGTTAAGAAAGAGTCACTTTACCTTTCTGTGTCAAGCCAAGAGCCCTGACACATCCCTAAAACCAAATAAATATTTCAAGTATAAGGTTTCCTTATAAAGTATAAGGCATTCTTAGGCCGAATGAGAACACCCAGGTGCAAGTGTGTGTACCAGAGTAAAATATTCATAGACCAAAAGGGCCCTAAGATCATCAAAGGTTAAAGGTGTTTGTCAATAAGCGTCCTCAAAAGCCCTCCATATGTTCTTGGATCAGTTTCTAAATATTTGGTTCTCTCTACCAACAACTTATCTCTCAGTCTTGTGTGATCAGTAAGTGGTCAAGGGAAGTAATATGTTACTATGTCTACTTGAAGCTAAGAATTTTTTCCATCTTCTCCCAACCGTTTTCCATGTTATAATGGGTAACTTCTTTTGCCACTGTTGAGCTCTTTCACTCACCTTCATTAAGCCTCCCACGTTTTGTGTCCTTCTACCGACCTGATCAGCAAACTATCTTTATCTTTAACTTTCAGCCCTGGCTGTGCAATGGAATCACCTGGGAAGCTCTTAAAAACTCAGACACCTGCTCCCACCCCAGAGATTTTAACAGACCTCAGCATTCCTACAAAGCTCCCTAGAGCAGGCATCCTCAAACTACCGCTCGCCTGAGGGCCACGAGCCACCAGCCAAGTACATTTATCAGGCCCCCCGGGGGGTTTTGCTGCTGCTGCCTGTCCTGCTTAGCAGCTGACTCCTCCCAGGCCCACAGTGCGCACTCTCCAACGGTCTGAGGGACAGTGAACTGGCCCCGTGTTTAAAAAGTCTGAGGACTCCTGCCCTAGAGACTCTGTTGTGCAGGAGGGACTGAGGACACTTTTCCCTTCAGTCAGGTGAATGATACAGCACCTCTCAAGAGGGGATGGCTGGCTGTTGCTTCTCTCTACTTCTAGAGACTTCTAAAAGTCTGAGACCAGTTAGTGGGGATCCTTTAGGGGCATCTTATCAGTGTGGCATCAGTGAACCAGTGAATGGCATCAGGACCACACTCCCGTCACCCTTGATGAACCAAGAACTTACCCTTGCCCACCACAGTCCCCACAGGGCTGCACTGTGCTATCTATTTCATCACATAGGTAGAGGAAAGTGCTCCAGATAGTGGATGATTTGAACTCAGCAAAATTAACACTTATCAGGGACAAAAATCAGGGGATAAAAAGAATATTCCATGAATCAATAGTAGCAACATATTGAGATGTATAGCTAACTCAGAGAGTAGAATGAGAGTGAAAAGAAATTAACTGTGCAAATTATTCAATATAGCTTAAATAAATGTTATAATAAATAAAGGATATTCCATTTAGATCTACAGACCCCAATCCCAGGGCCATGGACTGGTACCAACCAGTCCATGGTCTGTTAGGAACTGGGCTGCACAGCAGGAGGTGAGCCACCAGTGAGTGAGAGAAGCTTCATCTGTATTTACAGCCACTCCCCATCACCTGCATCACCGCCTGAGTTCAGCATGTTGTCAGATCCATCACTGTCTTCCATCACCCCCAGATGAGACCGCCTAGTTGCAGGAAAACAAGCTCAGGGTTCCCACTGATTCTGCATTACGGTGAGTTGTATAATTATTTCATTATATATTACAATGTAATAATAATAGAAATAAAGTGCACAATAAATGTAATGTGCTTGAATCATTCCAAAACCTCCCCCCACCAACCTCCTGGTCAGTGGAAAATTGTCTTCCATGCAACCAATCCCTGGTGCCAAAAAGGTTGGGGACTACTGATTTAGATCATATAAATAAAAGGCAATAAACTGATAAGATCCAAGCAAACAATTTGTTAAGATTATCAAAAAGAAAAAAAAAAGATACATGACACCCATCCTCAGAAAGACTGACAATGAAGTACTACTAAATACTCCTTGACCCATTTTAGAGTGAAATGTGCACATGCATTATTAATGCTCGCCTGCTATGTGCAAAATGCTGCCAGAGCTGTGGAAGACTGAAAGAAACATTAGCTGAGCTCTAGCCTAAAAACAGGTTGAGTGAACAAAAATAAACAAAAGAAAAGCTAAATCATGACATAAGATATACGAGGCCTGTCCGGAAAGCATCCAGTCATTGTTAATATATTTTTTATATACATAGCTATATACTTTCTGGACAGCCCTCATAAATCACAATGTAAGATTAAAATTAGAATAAAAATAATATTTTTAGCAACTTTGGTCTCATAAGTTGTACAGTTTATGTACATGCACAATCGATTGCAATATGGGAGAAAATATTAGAACTTCCATACATATTTATTTTCTTTAAAAAGGAAGCATTTTAGCTAGTATTTACCTTCTGGGTACCACTATGCCCTCAGTTAGTAGGACAGAGGATTCTTCCCTCACTCAGTGTTTGAGATGCTCTCAGGGAAAAGTGGGGCTTGCCCTTTCCACTCATTTGCTTTGAGTGCCCTGAAATGTACAGGGATGGGCTGCTAAGTTGATTTACAGACTTTAAAATGCACCTTTAAACTAAAAGAACCCTAAAAGGGACAAGATTCATGCAAGGAACCCACAGATTAAAGATAACATTAATATAATAACAAGGCAAGCATAAACAGTGTGGAAGGCACAGAACTGAAGCTTCTTACTACTCCAGCCGAAAGCTTTCTATTACTGACATCACAAGATAAAAGCAACAACAAATTTAATCAGCTCTGACAAGGACTTAGACAAAACAGACAAAAGTCATCTGAAGATGATTACCTACATGGTTATGTAAAACAAGGATAAATGAAAAGCTTTATTATGCCTTGAAACATTAGCTAGTTCATATATACATAATTTATAAACAAATGAGATGAATACTTCAAGGATATAAGTGAAAAAGTTTTGCAGATATATGACCCAAAAGGTTGGAGATGAACATCTCAAAGCAATACTACAAAAGATGGTATAGTAGTATCCTTTTCACACATTCACAACAAAATATTATGATAACAATATACACTGTCACTTGAATACCTTTGCCTTGTGTGCTATTTTACTATACTTGCATAGATTCCTGCTTTACATTAAATACTATGTAAATTCAGGATAGACTAACAAAACAGATAATATACAGAATTTTCTCACTAATTTATACTCTTTAGAGTAAGGCCAATGAATTAATAAGAAATTTGTATTTTAAAGGTAACAAAATACAATTACATTGGGAGTAACTCACACTAGGTGAATGAGACATGATCTAGCAGACACTCTGCTTTTAAATGAATATGTATGAATGATTTGCAGATACCCTTGTTTTTATTCACCAGCATAGTGGAAAAAATATAGTTTAAAACCAAACTGCCTTCTGAGGGGGTAGATCTTGTTGAAAGAGTCAATGGCCTCCGTGTTGTCAAGGCCCTTGCTGTGTAGCTGGGGTCTATTAGGAAATGGGATATACATAGCTGCATTGTTCTGCATAATAACAGAAGCATTTGCAGTATTGAAGAAAGGAAGGGATGAGGACAGAAAGAGAGGAGAGAGAACGTGGGCCCTGCACTCCAGGCTAGAGGTGCAGATGTGGGCTGGGATAAGGTCAGCAGGCTGAATGGGAAGAGGGGAAAGCTGACACATTGCCCAAACTAATGCAGGAGAAGCCAGCTTGTGGAGCCAGGTAATCAACACTTTAAATCTCCAGGAACTCTTTGAAAGCAATGGGTAAATATTAGACTTTATATAATATATGACATGTAGTTCCCAGCCAGTCACATCTGTTTAAAAGGTAATCCTGACCAACATCTGGGTTATACCTAAACAACTAGTAAAGGAAAAAGTTCAAGTTCATTATATAGTACGGGGGGGGGAGTGAGCAGGGTCTCTAATAGATTCCTTTTCCTGTGAACTTTAGGCAATTGCCATGTGAATGCCAATTTCACATTTGCCTTTCATACCAATACTCTCTTTTGCAAGCTCAAGGACACCTAGAAGAGCCATGACTTTTATTTCTCTGCTTTTGTAAAACGTTTCAACTTTGCCAATTTTTCATCTCCACTTTTATTTCTATATCTGTTTATGTAACGCATTGCATAGTTTTCATCTTCCTGACAAGAAAGGACTCTACTGAGAAATATTTAGCATGCAAAGGAGAAGTTCTTACTTAAGTTCCACAGATTAACTTTTTAAAAATGAAAATAAAATAGTTGAAATTGATTATGAAATCAAATTCACAGACATATAAAATGTTAGAAATGGAGAAGGTCTTAAGGGTCATCTTGGCTGACCCTTTCATATCATAGGCAGCTTTATTTTATAGGCAAGATGATTGAAGTCCAAGGCGATGACCTGTCGGCCCACCTGACTTATGGGCTCATGCATTTTCTACTAGGCCACTTTATCCCACGCTTACTCCGTGGATAGTCTCAGCCAAGCATCCTGACATAAATACATTCAAATGTTAATTCCCCTTAGTTATTTACATTTTTAATCTCTAAAGTTTTAGTCTGCCCAACTGGCTTAATATATTTAATATAAATTTAACATAATATTTTGGCAAAAACAAAGCTTTGGTAAGGTAATATGTCATTGTGGTTTTAATTTGCATTTCCTTGATGAATGCACAATGACATATTGCCTTACCTCTGTTAGAATGGCTTTTATTAAAGAGTCCAAAAACAATAGATGCTGGTGTAGATGTAGAGAGAAAGGAACATTTATACACTGTTGATAGGACTGCCAATAAGTACAATTATTTTATTATTACAGTTAATGAGCATGAAATTATCAAATTGCCCTAAAAGTTTCTGAAAACCTACTCTTATTCTGACAGGTAAGACAAAAGCTCATGAGCCAGCA